GGGCTGATAGCTCCTCGGTTAAGACGAATAGTCCTGCATACTCTGACATATCTGATGCGGAGAGGATGGGGAAGGCAAAGCGGAAGGGGTCAAAGTCAAGACGGAAGATCAGTCAGGCAGGGATAGTGCGAAAAAGGCTCTCTTTCCCTCTCAGGCATCCTCTAAGGAATCTTCATATTATGCTAGCTATGACAACTACTATTCTCCAAGTTACACCCACCCTAGCCTGGTAGCTCCACAGCTAGTGGGCTCTACCAGATGGCCAACCTGTGAAACTGAAGAAGGAAGACGAACAAGAATTGCCGGAGGAGAAGGCGAAGGTGGATGTGCAGGATGAGCGCAAAGCTGAGGTCGCTTCAAGTCACCCACACCAACAGCAGCAAGCCTCGGTCATTCAGCAGCGCTCCAATATGTACATGCAGCCACTCTACTACAACCAATACTATGTCCCCCCATATGGATACCCGGACCAGGTTTATCACAACCACCTCATGAACACTAATCCAACCTACAGGCAGCAGTATGAGGAGAGGCAGAGACTTATGGCGAGCAGCACAGGTCTGCTGAGAAAAAGCCTGATTTCGGTGTAAAGGACAGGGAAACCTCACTGAGGAGGACTGGAAACAGAAGGGCCCTGTTCCACCAGGCCTAACAAAAGCCCCCAGCCTTTCAGACCTGGGAAAGCCACAGGCCACTGGCAAGCAGAGAGACACTTCCTCCGAACCTGTCAAGTCAGTGATCATCCCTAAAGGGGAGGAGGTCAAGCTACAGCCACAGCAGGCTGAGGGGCTTAAAATGAAGCTTAGTGAAGCTGGCCATCATGGAAAGGATGACTCAAAGGCAAGTGTAGAGTCTGCCAGGCTGGGTATGGAGCAAGCCATGTGGTACAGACAGTGTGGCGCAAACATGTGATTCTTGACTGAAACAGCACCGTTTGCAAGCTAGAGGGATAATTTACCACAAATATGAAACCCTTCATGTTATATAGAGTCGCGTTTCACCGCAATTACCAGGAACTATTTGTCACAGGAACTTTTTCCCCCAGCCCGCTTGCTTACTGCGTTTACACCGCATACTAAAGTACCGGTCCGGGGAGGGAAGATTATGTAGTGACGTTGAACTGCGTGCGACTGCTCTTCCTAGCTGCGCGTTTGTTTGAGTTTTGTATGGAGGAGATTTAAGCTTTGCTGCTTTTGTGTGCGATTGGTTTACTAACAAGTTATTAGCCAAAACCCAAAGCGTATTCAGAAAGCTCGTAATGCTAGATATAAAAGTAGACGTTTGTTATCAGCGGACATTGACCGTGAGATGGATGGGACGAACGCGTGCCATCGGGCAGAAAGAATAGCGTGGTGAGAACCAATCAGCATGTTCAGCACACAAGTCCACCCCGAAAGTTCCTGAACTCTGAAAAAGTACCACCTCACCAGCAGGACTTTCTGGGGGGGGGAAATTTTTACCCGAAACTTCATTTAGACCCTGGTTCCTGCGGTGAAACACACCGAGTACCACCCCAAAGTTCCTAGTTCCTGGGGAAAGTTCCTGCGGTGGAACGCGGTATAACATGGAACTTAGGTTATATATATTTCACACCGGGGAGTCACCAATTTAAGTCTTCTAATGCAAAACGCAAAGATCTGGCCTTTTGAGTATTATTGTGAGAATTTAAATCAAAATAATAAAATCACAGATCTCATTTGGGTGAACTCATTTCATTACCTTTCAAAAACCCTAACTGTAACTTCCTTTCTGTTTCCAGTACTCTGACAGTCAGAGACCGCCATTGAGGAGCGAGACAGGGAGCGAGACAGAAAAGGCAAAGAGGAGAGGCCCAGGCTGAAAGACAGCAGCTCAAGAAGATGGTAAAGATGGAACTGATGGTTCATGTCCTCCCACACTGAGGACCATCGAAGCGGAGGGAAAGATCCCCGGCCCAATGCCCACATACCTTTCAGCTCCCCCTTGACACAGCACCAACCCTACCTGCATTACATGCATGGATATCCTTTTGGACAAAGCTACGATCCCAACCATCCTGGATACAGAGGAATGTCCTCCGTCATGATGCAGAACTACCCAGGTAAGATGAATAATAACATCTGAGTTTAACGATTGATTTGTGTGGGTTGGCCAACATCATACTCTATGCAAGTACAGAATGGTGCAATGGATTGCTTGGAAGACACATTTTCAGTGTGCAGTCTTCTTGCGTTGCATTTATTATGTCCTTAATAAACCTCAGTACTCAAGGTGGCCACTGAATTGCTTTCAAATACCACTGCTTTTAAAAGATGCGTTATCATTTAGGCAGCTAGCTTTAGACATGACAAGAACTTTTTTTCCCCTCTATAGTGCTCCTTGTGACAATGTTGAGAATGCAACACATACTTGCGCTGCTTTATAAATTGGTTTTGACATTTTATAGCACAATGGCACGTGAAATCAACTTTGGCATGGTGGGAAATTGGCATTCATATACTTGCATAAAGTATGTTTTGGGTCTTTATGTGTGTTAAAAGTGCGTAAAGGCACTCCCATGATGTAGAAACTCAGTATGGTTTCCTAATCTTTAGGGTCGTATCTGCCAGCGGGATACCCTTTCTCTCCTTACGGCAGTAAAATGGGAGGTGGAGAGGAAGCAGAGAAATCTCGCTCCAGCCCCACAGTCAGCAACAAGTCCGCTTCAGAGTCCAAAGCCTTGGACATACTACACCAACATGCCAACCAGTACAAGAGCAAATCGCCTACCGTTGCCGACAAGCCCTCCCATGAAAGGGAGCGAGGGGCAAGCGACCGAGAGCGGAAAGAGAGAGGGATCGAGAGAGGGAGAGAGAAATGGATCGGCCTCGATCATCTCCCTCCCAACGCCTAATGCCACCCCACCACCACCACCATCATCTAGGCTATCCCCTTGTAGCCGGCAGTACGATCTATCTTACGCCACAGGTTAGCGGTACTTTATGAATATTCTGATTATTTTGAGATGGTTGTGGATGAATCTCACACAGTCTGTCCAGACTCCACAACACAATGAACTCCACTAAAAATCTGGCTAAAAATACATAGCCAGGGCGTTTCTACCGAGCAGGCAGTGCCTCCTTAACAAGTTGAATGAGAAATGAATCCATATTAGAAAACTAAAACAACGCAAATATTACAAAGATGTGGGTTTAGTGGGGGGGGTAATAGATAATGAAAGGGAAAAAGTCACGTGAGAGAAGGGAATGCCTCCATCGCACTGTGATTGTGTATGATTGGTTCGTGCGATAAATCCCACCTCTTGTTTTCGTGCGCATTTACGAATCGGTCTGAATTATCAAAATTAAGGCGTTAATGGGAAGACTAATTAAAGTTAGTAAACAACTACCATTTAGATATCACCGCTTTTGTCACATCAAAATCAAACTTAAAATAGACTGCATTGTGACCCTATGTTTAAATATGACGTTGTTATAAATTATTTTCTGTACCACACTATTCAGAATTAGATTTTTTTAAAGATATGGGGGAAGGGGATTTAATATGAATTAGGCATTTCTTACTGAGATTTCAAATGGCTCATCTGATATGTTTAGGGGGGGAGAGGAGAATAAAATATTGCTGCTCATAAAACTGTGCCAATTCCACAAGGAAACTTGAGTGTAAACAACATCTTTACTGGATGTTCCTTAATTGCAGGCCTTTCATCGTCAGCAATTGTTGCCAGTCAGCAAGCCTCAGCCCCTTCCCTGTACCCACCAGCACGGAGGTGAGAATGGTAAGAGGAAACAAAGATCAAGGAAAGTCAGCAGAAGTGATGGATTGTGGTTAAACAGAGAGCAAATCGCATAAATCAGTCAGTTTTCACGTGTTTCCCCATTTCTGCTTGTCATGCGCAATGTTTTTACTCTAAAGTTTCTGTTTCATGGCAGCATGATTGTTTAAGGACCCTAGATTGAGGCTAGTGTTTTTAGCACCGCAGTGTTTGTAGCATTGCTAACACTCCTGTACAGTTTCGCCAAATGAAGCCTATGCTGACCTCTAGTGGAAAGGCATGTAATAACATCAGGGAAATGGGAAGAGTGCATCGGATTAGGCATGTTTAACCTTAAAACCGTATTCTGGAAAAATGTGGGCAAAATAGTTTTGATTTACTTAAAAAAATAAAAATAAATAATACTTCCCTTGATCTGAGCTGTACAAGACTTGGCTACTTTTCCTAAGTTTGCCTCCTGAACAAACACACATTTTTTGACTCAATTCTATAATATTAAGTGGGTGGGAAAAAAATACTCCTTAATCTTGTATTTGGGTCAAAAATGGGCACCCATAGAAATGAATGGGAAAAACTGTAATTTAGAGCATTCTAAAATAATCCAAAATAAGACAGCAAAGTCACTTCATCTTTAGGTTTTAGCTCCAAGAACTTATTGGAATGATATTTTAATGTAGTTTAAAAAATAAAACATAAAATAAGCATAATTTAAAATATGGTACTTTTTGAAGTAAATAATTTTAAAAATATCCCCTAAATCAATAGAAACACCATAAATGGATAGAAAACTGTGGAAAAATCTGTGACATTTTATTTTGAAGATCTCCTTTTAGACATTCTGTTGACTACACATAACCTTACCTACATGTCAACTAATTTATTAACGTATTAGTAGACAATCTGCTAAATATCTGCCCAACAGACAACAGAAAATATGGTACTTTTTGAAGTAAATAAATTCAAAAATACCCTCAAAATAAACAAAAACACCATAAATGGATACACAAAACTTTATCGAAGACATTCATAATAAATAAAATTTAGAATCACACCTGAGACCTCGGTGGCCACATTTGCCCACAATTACAGGATTGAGGGCTATAAAGTGTTTGAGGGCTACTAACAAATATAAATGATACTAAATGTACTTTTATAATTAGTTAATTTCAAAGCCAAATCATAGATTAAAACTATACTGTATTCTGACCAGTTGTTTCTTGTGTTTTCTTTCTTTAGGGAAACCTGATTGTCTCGCCCTTCTTTACAATTAATCATGTGACTGGATCACATGGGGAAGTATATGGAGTTCATTTAGACATCAGTTGAATGGTGTTTCTATATTTTTAGTTTTTCTGCCGGAATGTGTGGCAGATTGATGTTTTCCTAGTATCCGTACCTCGTACCCCGCTACAGACCAGGTTTAAAGCCATCCCGCCCTGCTCAAAGCCCAGCCGGCCACTGGACTCTTGCCTGTGAACTGGCGAGGAATGATTGAAAAGCAAGGACTGTCGTTGAACTCGCCCGACGCGGGCTGTGGCCGGGCTGAGGCGAGGACTCGAGGGGACGTAAGAACACAAAGACTGAAAATAGTTTTATCACACTGAGATAACTAAAGTTGTTTCCTTTTTTATTTTAGTTGGCATCCTCACTGAAAACAAAAACAAAAATGTTTTTTTTGAATTGCTCTCTGCGGATAATATCTAGCATTGTCTCATAACTCTGTCTTTCTGCCTTTGGTTCCTAAACGGTTCTCACCGCCACATGCCTCAAGACTGCTCTTATTTTTTTTTTTTTTCCTTTTCCCATGCCTGGCTTCTCCATCATCCGCATGGTTCTGTGTAACAACCGCCAGTAAGTTATAGCACTCTGCTTAAACTGTGTAGGAGACAGTCATGCTGTTTTAGACAGTCATTCACGAAATATAATTTTAGCGAGCACAGTCTTTCAGAAGAACATCAGCGGTCCGTTTACTCCACTTGGTTATCCTTCAACTTGAATCCGAACATCCTCCTTGGCTACCTTACCTCATCGCTGACCGAATTTCCGATTTATCGCTGTGGTTCTTAAAATGGATGTTTGTTAATGTGACGAGGTATAGTAAGTTCTTCTAGAGAGACGCTATGGGGTGCGTGACACCAGAGGCCCAGTAGTTTCGTTCTTGCATGGGGCCGCTCTATCCCTGAACACTTATCGTGGAAGTGTCGTGATGATAACTCCAGCGTGTTTGATGAAACCAAGTGAGCGTTTGACCCGAACATGCTTTCATAGCCCATCATGCTCTGTGTTCTTTCATGTGTCGTCCAGCATGGTGTACTATAGCACTAGAAATGTGACTTTTTAACGGTGTCTCCTCAGGCAAAGCAAACTTTGGTTTCGCACCAAACGCTGACTCTCTTGGTTGCGCACACTATGTGATGTACAGAGGGACTGTTTTAAAATGCTATCAAGCGACCATCTGATTTCTTTGATGTTTTGAAATCTGTCTCTTGGGTGTGCTTTTCTTTTCCTGTCCGGTCTCTGCTCGGCTTAGTCTTGGGAATCTCTCAATCTAAAATCTCGACCAGTCGTAGCTCATGGTGGATCTCAGGCCCAGTTTCCTGGTCAACGCTGATGTTTTCAAACGAGCAGATCGAATTTAACAGGCTCCGTGGGAACGAGACGACGGACAGGCGTTCGGAGGATTACGTTGACTCGTTCCCTCTCTCCATGTGTAAGGTTACAATTGAAAAAAGCACCATGGTACACTGAATACTAAGAGAAATGGGCTGTTACACATCCAAATATGACATTTGATATTAGGTAGGCTACATTTGGGATGTACGAATTCTTTCAAACCTGAACAATTGATTCAATTCCCTCATGGTTTTTGTCAGCACATGAAAATTGTCAAATGGTGCTCAGCTGACACGCTGTGATTTGTTGGAAAGAGGATGCAGTGCACTATTGCATGCTTTACGTCATTTTCACCTCTTTCCTGTTGCGCTTCGTCCCAAGTGTTTCCCAAAAGACAACTTATCACCAAGTATCAGGCCCCGGTACTTAAAGAATGTTTACATTTTGTTTTTTTTTAATGGTTTTGTTTGGATTTTTTTTTTTTTTTTTTTGCTGTATCACCCAATTCCTCCTGTTCTTTCTTGGACTGTTCTCTTATGTAAAGTGTACATTACCACGTTTCTTTTTTATACAATACTGTAACTTGCCTTTGTACATTTAGGCAAAAAAAATAAATCTTTTTATGAGACAATCACATCTGTCCTTGTGTGGCTCTCTCTCTGTTCTGCTTTACGATCATTTAAAGTAAATAATTTGCATGTTTTTATACATTTTCTTTACTTTTACAATAAAGGTGGATGTTCGTATCCTTCAACCAGAAGATGGTTTTCAGGTAAGTTATCTTAGCTTTCGATAATATGTTCAAACCGCCACAAAAGAGCGTCTTCTGTCCGTCTACTGATCTAATGCGTGAACATTATGGGAAGCGCTCTAGACAGACGGGATTTAAACTGTTGGCTGAAGATTGAGGAAAAACATTTTCATTTTTCCAAATGATAAACTTTCTCTCGATGTTGGTTAAACTTAGCAGTTCAAGGGATAGTTCACTTTAAAATTAACTTTTTGGTATATTTTAGCTTATCTCAAGGGCATCCAAGATGTAGGTGTCTGTTTCCACAGTATTTTCAATTTTGATATTTTTAGGTCAAACCGTTCTTGTCTGTCAGTCATATAATGGAGGTCTATGGTCACCACCTCAAAGAGCATGCACAGAGAAGTCCAGTATAGAAGAACAGTATTTATACCTTTTTCACCTCTTGTAATCACAGTCACGTCCAAGTACTCTGAGGGCGATTTCGAAGACTATTTCGATTTGATTTTTTTTCGCAACTGCACAAGAGATCACTTCCGGCGCTTGTGCAGACCGAAGCACCCGTGCCTTCAGATCAGTTGCACGTGGCTGTGGTTACAAGAGGTAAAAACGATATAAATACTGTTCGTTTTCTCACACAAACCGCTCGTTTCGTGTCTTAGGCCATCAATGTGTACTTACATTTACGAGTCATTAAATCATGTTTAATTTGGACTTCTCTGTATTTGCTCTTTGAGGTGGTGACCATAGACCTTTATTATATGACTGACAGACAAGAACGGTTTGACCTAAAATTATCAAAATTGAAAATACTGCGGAAACAAAGACACCTACATCTTGGATGCCCTTGAGGTAAGCTAAAACATATCAAAAATTAATTTCAAAGTGAACTATCCCTTTAATCCAGGAATAACATGCGTGCTGAAAAATCCTTCTCCAGTCAGTAAACGTGTCCCTGTCCCCAAAAATGCCAAATATGTTGGTACTCAAAGCACCTCCTGCACGTTTTCTGCCGCGCATCGTTTATCCTCACCACGCATGCGTCCGGTTATGTTTAGAAGACTCAATAAATTGCTGGAAATATTACAAATCCTTCACCGTTAAAACCCTCGGATGCATGAAATTCCAAATCCCTAACATTTTAATTCACTTGCCTTATTGCTCTAATGCTGTTAGACAGTCATATGACAACAATAACAATATCTGAAAGGGTCATTGTTTTGAATATTTGCACAATAAAGCCCTTTCAGCTTGTGTAAAGTGCTTTGTCTGTGACAAAAGGAGCTTTTTGTGTGCAACGTGATGCAGCAGTGGAGATTATGCGGGATGATTTTGTGGATTGTGAATGTAAAATCTGATTACCGTGGATGGCAGGGGGGATGGGAGGGAGGCAGGGAGATGCTGAGGCAATGACTTTTCCTCTGATGTCCTGCAAGGGCATGGAAGTACACCTTTCCTCTTGCTGCTAAGCAAGTCTGCATCGGATATCTGGGATTTCATGGGATGCACTATATACGCAGCCAGTTCTGAGGCTCCTTCAACGGAGGGGCCTGAGGCACAGAGACGCCCCCATGCTCACAGCACCAGGACCTGTCGTACTCGGGAGGACCGGTGAGGCTCAGATGCATTATAGCGTGTGGACTGACTGTTGACCCGTGTCTTTTATTAATGCCGAACTTAAAAACCTCAACTGTCAGATATTTATTATCGCCACAATGTGAATGTCCCCAGTTATTCCTGGCTGTTTATGTGTGATTTAGACTATACTTTTTACATTTTCACTTTGGATTTTAATATGATTTTTTGACAATATGACTATATAAAATAATTATAAGTAAAATAATAATAGGCTAACAATAATAATAACAAAATTATTTTGAAATGCTTTCTTTATGATAGTAGGCTGTGAAGCGAAGACAACAGATTCGTTTTATAGACGTCTACGGACATTTACTTTGTCAGTCGTTGTCAAAAGTGTCTGGACTGGAAAAAATAATTGATTTCAAACGGTAGTTATTCCGATTCAGCAGCATGTCAGTCAGTGTGTGTGTGTGTGTGTGTGTGTGTGTGTGTGTGCGCGCGCGCTGGAATAAATCCAGAGGGAGTTCCAGGAGCTTCTTAATAACACCACGAGTCGCTAATGCTGCTTACGTAGCTCTCATAAGACATCACACTGACTACATAACGATCACATCACACTTAGTTATGACACTTTACATTCATAAACACGGACTGTTGTAACGCCGGTAAGGATGTTTTTGTGTTAACATTACTCACCTCTATGGGACACGTCGAGCGAGGGTTTGGATATTTCCTCAGGTACGTGTCTGTCAACGGATCTTTTTCACACACTGTGATGACGCGTTTTTACGGTCATCAGTATCATAAATCCTGCAACGTTTTGTATATATATTTTAATGTATGTACATTTGATTTATAACACTATTCTATATGTAGTAGCCTTAGCCTATATTGTATCAAATTACAAAACAACTACTGCTGTGAGTGATGGTGAAACAGCGGCTGTGGACGTGATGGTCAAATTGACATCTTTCTCTACTGACTTCCGTTTTCAATCTATCTATTTTTCCCTATTTTGAAAATTGTGAAAACACTATTGTGGCGATTTTCTTTTTCTATTTAAGCAAACTGGAGCTCAAAAAATAATTTAGTTCCCGCTATAAGTTTACCCAACTATGACGACATACGAAGAAACCCGCGAAAGTAGTGAGACAGCCTACTACGGTTTAATTCATACATCTGCATTCAAAAGGTTTAAATTGTTGTTCACTCAGAGAATATACATCACATTTAGTTTTTGTGAAATGTTTTAGTTGGATGTTCATCTAAAGATTTTTGTTACTACTTGTTTCAGAACGTTGAGAAAATTCAAAAGTAGGCTAATGTTCCCATAATGTTTACAAAAAAACAACAAAAAAAATCAAGAAAAATAACATTTTTCATAACAGAATGGGAACGTTAACAAAACGTCCTTTGAATATGTTTTATTAGCTGGGAATACAAATAAATTGCCATATAGGCTGCTGTACTTTAGTAGTGTGCAAAGTTGCTACATTGCTTTTTATATCGATTTACTTAGCGGATATTTATTAGTTTTATTCAGGTTATTATTACTATAATTAATAAATGTATTTGATTTTATTTTATTATATGTTCACCATCAGTTTGTTTGATGCATTGCTTTACAGTGATTTTATCACAGTTAAGTTTAGGCGGCTATAAAATGGCTTTATTGAACAGTTACCTCACAGATATGTCTGGTGGTCGGTTGCTAGTATGTAGGCCTACTATACTCACAGTAGACAGCATATTTTTATCACAAGTTTTTTTTTTTTTTTTTTAGCTAGTACAATTTTTTTTTTTTATATCCACTACAAACTGTATATATAAACTGCTATGTGTTTATAAATGGAAAGGGCAGTGGAGCAGGCCAAGAGGAGTTAAGACGTGTATGTAGGTCACCAGTCACAGCGAGTCCACTTAACTATTTACAATAATACATAACCAAATGTGATGTATATGAGAGTTCAGAATTTCCAGAAATTACCACAAGAACAACCATCGTTTTTACCAAAATTCCAAAAATGATGTTAACCAATCAAAAATAAGGTGACACCTCTCATGAATTTTTTATGGTTTTACAGTAGTAACAATAAATGCACCAACTAGGGTGTTTTTGGCAGAAATTATGATTACCTTTAGTAGACAAAATACACCAGTAGACACCATTAACCAGTTGAAATGTATCAACTGGTAAAGATTTTGGACTCTCGAGGACTCTATTGTGGTTTCGCTGATGTGACGTTGCTGCGAGCGGTCCAGAAAGCGTATTATTTGTCTACCGTTTTAAGCGTTGCGGATTTAAAACAAGTGATTTTAATAGTAGCAAAAGGCAACTCATTTCGCTATATGCGCACGCTGTCTAAGAGCACACATAAAGCCGCTGCTCATATAGCGCAATTGAAGAAAACTGAATTTTATTTATTTTTTTATTAATGCCTAATAGAGTGCCGAAGTTATAACCTGCTTATGTTTTTTTTAAACTTTATTGTGTCTGATAGTTAGGGTTGGGTATCGTTTGAATTTGAACGATTCTGATTCCGATTCCGGTTCCTAACGATTCTCGATTTCGATTCTTTTAAGAGGCAGGGTCAAAAAAGTTTAGCTAACCTTGCTAACCAACGGTCTTTCTGAAGGAAATACTCCTTCTGTCACAAATACTTGTCACAAATTTAGCATTTTGCTGAGATTTCGTTAATTTTTAGAAAAGTGAAGCCACACTTTGGATCGCCGACGTAAGCTACTCATGTTCGACTCGCGTGGTTATGCCAACACTTCCGGTAGACGCTTCTTCGTTGGTGTTGTTCAGCGGTTTCTTCTTCCGCTCGGCGGACTGTGAATATCGAAACTAGGAATTGAAATTTTAACTTTTGAACGATTCCGGGAAAAACGAAAAGTTAGTCCCGGTTCCAATCGATACTCGATTCTCGATACCCAACCCTGCTGATAGTGTTTTTTAAAATCTTTATATAGGCTTCAAAATTTATACATTTTGGATTAACTTGTAAAGATTATCTTGATAGACAAAATGTGTAAGGGTCACAACTCTTTGTTAAACACAGATCTTATTTTTTTGCGATTTTCCAAAAGTCTGTGGAGAAAATGCATTGCTTTTCGACCGAGGGAACCCATGCGCCGCTAGCTTCCGAGTTGTCCTACAAAGTGACGTCATCACTTCGCCACTCTATTGGGCTTGAACTATTCAATATACTTATGTGTCAAAATGCCTATCTTTGCAAGTATCTTCATAAACACAGTGAACATGAACATTTGAGAAAGAAAACGCATGCGATTTGTGCATTCGGTCTTAAAGTGACAGCAGCCTAATATTCCTGCTTCATTTCGTCATTAATGTTGATGAAACAGTGAAAATCATTCACTTGTTATTTTAAGATTAAATGTAGCCTATATTTAATATACACAGTTAACATGCAGTGTTTATTTTCTACATTTGATTACTTTATAAAATGTGTGTAGTATTTCTTATTTTTAATGTTTTGAAGTTTTTCAGGTCTATTTAATTTGTGTTTTTGGACTAGTGTAGTTTGTTTCCCTAGCCTAGTTTCTTTGTTCACTGTTATACTTTTAACTTATTTTCTTGTGACAAAAATAACTATTGTGAAATAAAATGAGTCATAGCTGGTCTTTTCTGGATTTTGGTCATATCGCCCACCTCTAAAGTTAGGAGAGGAAGTGTGCCAGACAGTAATGTTGAAATGAAACACAGAATTGTTGTCTTATGTAAACCTACTGACATAAAGCACACAGGTGTTTTCCAGCAAAGTAAGCTCATTAGCATGTCCTCACAATACAGTTTGTTGTGAATGGCTTGCTAAATATCCGTCAGAAAGCTCTTGTGTGTGTGGACCGCCTGCAGACGTTACACGAACAGCTGTCTCTGTTATGAAGCCCTTTATACAGCGAAACCTCCTGTCATCGCCCGCTCGAAACCAGTAACATTAACACATTAGATAATATTGATGTTACTACAGCTGTATCTTGTCTTACTGTATTTGAATAGCTGTAAAATATGCTCTATTAGTTATATGGCTAATTATGAATCCAAAAAGCATTAATTTTAGACATTTAAGTTAGTTTAAGTTTGAATGCTAGTTAACTGAGGTGGTTTAGTTGCGTCACTGAACGGCTGCCTGTTGTTTAGACACATTTAGACAGACATTCATTTACCTAAGTTGATTTGGTAGACATGCTTTTCCATCTACAAGCAGGATGTTTGTTTAAAGTTTGTTTAATGTGTATTCAGATGCTAATAATGAAGGTTATATAGGCTCTTTATTCCAAATGGTTCCATAAAGTACCTTTAATATTTATGGAGCCTTTCCATCGCATAAAAGGTTCTTTATAGTGTGGAAAAGGTTCTTAAAATGTTCTTCACATTAAGAAAAAAAAGGTTATTTTAAGAACGGTTCACTGAAAGGTTCTTTGGAGAACCCAGAATGATGGTTCTGTGAAAACTCACTGTTGGAACCTTTATTTTTAAGAAAGTTGTCAAGCCTTTATGCCTTGTTTACAACGTTTGCAGCATGAGCCATTGTCAGGTGGTGTGTCTTTAAGAGAGGCTTCTGTGCCTGTAAGCTATGCTAATGTTGATTTGGCTAAATGGATTAGTAGTTATCCTGCCTTGTAAATGCGTATTAATATAGAAAGAAACAAGGAGGGCACTGATTAACCTTCAATATTTAGGACAGTCAATCATATATGATATAAAACAGTTCAGCAGCCGATGACCCGACCCTGAATTGATTCTGAATTCTGACTTTTTGTCACGCAATTCTAAATTTATATCTCACAATTCTGAATTAATATATCACACAATTCTGACTTTATATCTCGCAATTTTTACTTTATAACTCAGAATTCTGACCTTTATCTCACAATTCTGTCTTTATATCTCGCAATTCTGACTTTATAACACGTAATTCTCACTTTATCTCACAATTCTGACTTAATATCTCACAATTCTGTCTTTATAACACGCAATTCTGACTTTCTATCTTGCGATTCTGACTTTATATCTCGCAATTCTGACTTTATATCTCGCAATTCTGACTTTATATCTCACAATTCTGACTTAATATCTCACAATTCTGTTTTTATAACACGCAATTCTGACTTTATATCTCGCAATTCTGATTTTCTATCATGCAATTCTGAATCAATATATCACACGCAAGTCTGACTTTATATCTCACAATTTTTACTTTATATCTCAGAATTCTGAATTAATTTATCTTGCAATTCTGACTTTGTATCTCACAATTCTGAATTAATATCACGCGCAAGTCTGACTTTATATCTCGCAATTTTTATTTTATATCTCAGAATTCTGACTTTATATCTCACAATTCTGACTTTATATCTCACAATTCTGAATTAATATATCACGCGCAACTCTGACTTTATATCTCGCAATTTTTACTTTATATGTCAGAATTCTGACTTTATATCATGCAATTATGACTATATCTCAGAATTCTGAATTAATTTATCTCACAATTCTGACTTTATATCTCGCAATTCTGACTTTATATCTCGCAATTATGACTTTATATCTTGCAATTCTGACTTTATATCTTGCAATTCTGACTTTCTATCACGCAATTCTGACTTTATATCTCAGAATAGCGAGATATAAATTCAGAATTGCGTGTTATAAAGTCATAATTGTGAGATGTAAATTCATTACAGCAATGTACATGACTTTATTAATTTACATGACCTTTAGAAATCACACTTTTAAAAATGATCTCATATATCCAGCTCCCCTGCTTATGTTTACACATCTTGATTAGCAAAGTTTTGTCTTGCTTTAAATAATTTTACACCATCCAAGAAGTTGGTAATTGTAAAAAAGAGAAACTTTTAATATTAAAAAAAAACAAACTATCTTGCAGATAATATAATAATTAAATAAAAGGCCACTTAAGAGAGTACACTTTCATTATACGTTTGTTAACAAATTTTTTAATAATGTGCACTTTGTAATAATGTCAAATTAAATTTAAAGTGCATTTTAAATGATTATGTTTTAATAATCTTTTTTCGTGCTTTAAAGGAGTACACTTATTTTGAAGTAAAGTACTTGATGATAACTAGTGTGTTGTTTGATGTTACATGGTACAAGTACACCAAAGGTACACCAGTATACACCAAATAGCAAACCTGCATGTGTGTGTGTAGGCGGAGCAAAGAGCTTTTTCCCCAGTTCACATGTGAAGGGGGCGTTTCTTAAAGTCGCACAAAATGCTCCGCTTCAAAAAAAAAATTAATGATGAAATGTGTGACATGACCCTTTAAAAACACTTCAGTAATTGTCATCCAATTACTATTATCATGCGCTGGCTGTTTAATCCTCTTGTCTATGTATTTCTCTTTGTATTAGGTTGCATATGTTGCTCTCTGCCCTCCTCTCATTGCTGTCCTGAGGTGTATCAGCAGGAGAACTGCTAGTTAAGCGTTTTAGAGGAGCAGCGCACCAGCTGTGTGTGTGTGTGGCGTCACAGCGTGTGTTGTCTCTGGGGTGTATTCAACAGCGGATCAAATGATGTGACCTTCAAAAACAGGAACCGGCCTGTCAGTGCACACAGAGATGACTCAAACCCGCGCCTAATGAAGCTTCCCAATTAAAGATAACAAGGGAAGAAGAGGCCATACAGTAGAGCGGCGTTCTCAGCAGTGGCCCGTTTATCACAGCTTTCTAATTGAAGCCCTGAAATAGCACTCTTTAGCTATGGGAAAAGGCTAAATGCTTATTAGAAGTGCGTATGACGTCTTGTTTGTGTGTGTTTGTGTGTTTTGCAGGCCTAAGACCATGAGTGATCATCAGGATCCGGCTGAAGACATCGGGCTCCTCACACCTCACGATCAGCCGGAGCCCTCGAAGGACGAGGACATGCATTTCAGGCGAGTCAGGACTTGAGTGTGAAAGGAGACTCGGCTTTATATCTTATCATAAGTTGAATGTGGATGAAGTGAGAAGGTCCAGGGTTTGAGCCTTTCTGTGTGGAGTTTGCATGTTCACCTCGTGTTATTGTGGGATTTTCCAGCAGTTCGGTGATTTGGAAAATGTATTAGTTATGATGAGGCAGTTATAATAGATATTCATCAGGAAAGTAACATACTCTCACTTTTTGGCTTCCCTCCCCTATAAACAAATCTATTTTAATGGAATATTTGAACGGAAAGACGTTTAATATTAGCATATTATTTTTAGGTAAAATATTAGTTTAATCACATTCTATGACACCATCTCATGATGAATAATAATTTTTACTGTAGCATGTTCACAAATAACTCTAAATTTATTACAATATTTACAATTTAACCCTCTGATGGTCTTCATTTGGGAATCACGCGCGTGGTCTTTGGGGTCTATTGGACCTCAGACAATAATATTTAATTTTGTAACAGAATAGTATTTTTTTTTTTTACAAATATAATTTTACTTGGTTTATTAATGTTTTTACTCAACATTTGTGCAGTTTTTTGGAGGATTTATGATATCTTTTAAATTTCTATAAATAAATAAATATTTATTTATATGGCCTTTTCCCCAAAAAACAGCATTTTATGTAAAATTCAATTTATAAAAGACCCATATTTCAAATTTTCAGTCATGTGGATAACATGGATCATTTTACATGGTTTAATGTAAGATTTCTGTCCATTTTTTAGAGCTCCACTGTATGCTATTTGCTATTTTACTAACCAAAGGTATCTTTTCACAAGTTGGATTCAGTTGGATTCATATCTAAATATTATAAAATCAAAATTATAACAAAAATAAAATACTTTTTGTCAAAGTTTAGCATTTTTTGTACTGAAAAAACAACAACTAGTTTTTCAATAATATTACATTATGATTAGAATCAAACCTGAACAACGTTACAAAGAGAAATGTTGGAGTCTTAAGATTTGAGTGTGTGTGTGTGTGTACGTAAATTTTCAATGTGTCAGTGTTACAAATTTATTTTTGTGGTGGTTCCGCATTTTGGATGGTTTTATTTTACAAATGATAAGAGAACAATTTTTATAGTTTCAAAAATGTATTCCTCTATGTATGTGTGTGTGTGTGTGTGTGTGTGTGGTGAGCATGATTTTTTTGCATTGTTGGAAGTGTGACACTTTATTTGTGTCATTTCTGTCTATGTGTTCTGCGTTGTTTCTAATTTCGATGGTGATTTTGTGGGATTTTTTTAGTGCGAAGACCACGAGTGTGACAATTTATATTCCAATTTATTTATTTATTTATTTTTGTAGATCTAGACAGTGTTGAGAGCCGTAGAAACTTTTTATACCATTTGGACAAGGAGAACATTTATTTTTTTTATTTGTGCACAAGTCATTTGGGGTCCAACAGACCCTGTGGACCATCAGAGGGTTAATACAATCTCTGTGATGGAAATGTACGGTACGCTCCAGTCTTAGCATCAATAATCATAAGTGGCACCAATAAAAAAACAACAACACACTCCTACTCTATTACTATATTAGTGATGGTAAAGTCATCAAACTTGACACAAATGTTTTATGCAGTGACCAAAATCTTTATTCAAATAAAATTTACAATATAATAAAATAAACTCATCAAAATGTTTTATTATGAAATCGATACCCCTTATGTGACCCTTAAGCTTCTTTGATTCAAGAACTTACCTTGTGAAAAAAAAAGAAAAACACTTTTAAATACAGTATTACATTAAAAGCATATACTTAAGTGTGAAATTAATGTCTTTTCAGAAACTGAACTGCACGTTAAATTTCAAAAGTGCTTTTATTGCCCTGCTTAATGTACTGACAAGCATTTGTTAAACTATATATACTTTAATATAATTTCAGTCACATTTTATTTTAGGGTCTAATTCTTGCTATTAACTATGACTTTTGCCTCAATAAACTCTTAATTTCTGCTTATTAATAGTTACTAAGGTAGTTGTTCAGTTTAAGAGATGTAAAATATGGTCATGCAGAATAAGGCATTAATATGTGCTTTATAAGTACTAATAAACAGCTAATATTCATGTTAATAAGCTGCCAGTTAATAGTGAGAATTTGACCCTAAACTAAAGTGCTACCATTATAATTTATTGAAATATGTATGGAATCTAGTAGTGTAGTTGCAACTAAAATATTAACTTGAATTGTAAAATTGAGTAACACATTAATGTTAAAATTATAATCAAGTACTTTACCTGAGCTTTAGTATGTTAGTCAACACTTTAACATTTTATCAATATACTCTTATTTTGAAGTAAAACTTTTATTTTGACGTTATTACAACGTGTATTTAAGTGTTAAGCATATTCATGTAAGTAAGTACACTTAAACAACCTTTTTATTTGATTAGTATTATTTTTTTAAATATACTTTTAACATTTGAAGTACACTACATTCAATACAATTAAGTGCATTTCTCTTCTATTGAAGTTGGGAATGTTAGGAATGAATGAAACCGCAATTATATCCGTTATAAGTGTACTTGTGCACTTCTTAAGTGTAGTGTGCTTCCAGACCGGGTTTAGCTGAGCACTAGATCATGTGCTCACAGTTATATCCACTGAATGACTGAACAGCTCAGTGTCACAGAGCCTGTGTTGCGTTTCCTCTGTAAAAGTCCACGTTTGACGGTCTTTGTCCCCTTTTACTTGCTTCTATATGAATTATTGACCGTACACTGAGACATATTCTGTTTCTGGCTCGAGATGTGTTCTGGCTGTTAATCCGCCTGGCTATGCAGAAGCTCAGCCAAGGGCACACACACACGCACACACACACACTGTCAGTCTGAAACACTCGCCGTGAGCAGAATAAGAGCTCGTGACTCATGTCTGCATAGCACAGGAGACTCAGCAGTGTTTGTGTTTACTGTCGTTTTAAAGGTATCTGCAAGTGGATGATGATTTCTGATACATTTTTGTTGCTTCGGGATCAAAGAGAAACGAGTTCATCAATTTAAAGGGGTGATGAACTGATAAATCAAGATTTTGACATCTAAGAGGTTATCATATTATAAGAATATCCTGTAAGTTTCAGAACTGAAACCGTCCTTGTTAGTCCAATAAAAGCTTTTATTGACACCAGGCTCTGCAAACGACTCGTTTTTCAAAGTGGGGAACTATGACGTCGAAAAGGATTAAACATCACCCCCGCAGAAGATCAACGCCTACTTCAACACGGCCGGTTTATCCCCGCCCACCAATTCACGCATTACACGCATAGCTGAATAACATAGATGCCTACCTCATGATGACAAACCGGATCGAGAATGAAACTCATTCTAATATGCAAAACTGTCATCCACTCTCAGCAGTGGGCGTTTACGTCCAAGTCTTCAATGCAAGACGCCCATAAAAACCGAGCGTTTTTGAGCTGTGCTCAAAATTGAGATGGTCCTCACTGCTGAACAAGAAATCCATGGGGAGGAGTCGGATCCAGATCCCACTCCTCCAGCCTTACATATACCTAAACCTACCCAGCTCCACCCCCTGATCCCTAAACTTACCCCTAAACCTACCCAGCCCCCCCCCCCAATCCTTAAACCTACCCAGCTCCACCCCCTGATCACTAAACCCACCACTAAACCTACCCAGCTCCACCCCCTGATCCCTAAACTACCCAGCTCCATCCCTGATCCCTAAACCTACCCAGCTCCACCCCCTGATCCCTAAACCCACCCTAAACCTACCTAGCTCCACCCCCTGATCCCTAAACCCACCCCTAAACCTACCCAACTCCACCCCCTGATCCCTAAACCCACCCCTAAACCTGCCCATCTCCACCCCCTGATCCCTAAACCCACCCCTAAACCTGCCCATCTCCACCCCCTGATCCCTAAACCCACGCCTAAACCTACCTAGCTCCACCCCTGATCCCTAAACCCACCCCTAAACCTGCCCATCTCCACCCCCTGATCCCTAAACCACCCCTAAACCTGCCCATCTCCACCCCCTGATCCCTAAACCCACCCTTAAACCTGCCCATCTCCACCCCCTGATCCTAAACCCACCCCTAAACCTGCCCATCTCCACCCCCTGATCCCTAAACCCACCCCTAAACCTGCCCATCTCCACCCCCTGATCCCTAAACCCACCCCTAAACCTGCCCATCTCCACCCCCTGATCCTAAACCCACGCCTAAACCTACCTAGCTCCACCCCCTGATCCCTTAACCCACCCCGAAACCTACCCAACTCCACCCCCTGATCCCTAAACCCACCCCTAAACCTGCCCATCTCCACCCCCTGATCCCTAAACCCACCCCTAAACCTGCCCATCTCCACCCCTGATCCCTAAACCCACGCCTAAACCTACCTAGCTCCACCCCTGATCCCTAAACCCACCCTAAACCTGCCCATCTCCACCCCCTGATCCCTAAACCCACCCTAAACCTGCCCATCTCCACCCCCTGATCCCTAAACCCACCCTTAAACCTGCCCATCTCCACCCCCTGATCCCTAAACCCACCCCTAAACCTGCCCATCTCCACCCCTGATCCCTAAACCCACCCCTAAACCTGCCCATCTCCACCCCCTGATCCCTAAACCCACCCCTAAACCTGCCCATCTCCACCCCCTGATCCCTAAACCCACCCCTAAACCTTGCCATCTCCACCCCCTGATCCCTAAACCCACGCCTAAACCTACCTAGCTCCACCCCTGATCCCTTAACCCACCCCTAAACCTACCCAACTCCACCCCCTGATCCCGAAACCCACCCCTAAACCTACCTAGCTCCACCCCCTGATCCCTTAACCCACACCTAAACCTACCTAGCTCCACCCCCTGATCCCTAAACCCACCCCTAAACCTGCCCATCTCCACCCCCTGATCCCTAAACCCACCCCTAAACCTGCCCATCTCCACCCCCTGATCCCTAAACCCACCCTTAAACCTGCCCATCTCCACC